ATGATGAGAGAAAACTTGAATTTTAACCTATACTGGATATTAAAGATTATTACCTTTGAATACATCAATAAGATGGGAGAAAACTTGAAATTTAACCAACATGTACATGCATACTGGTTTAAATTATACCTTTAGGCATATGCAGCCCAAAAAAAATGAAAATGTTAAATTCCAACGACATTTGAAAGACAATTTTAGAACTTCCATCAAAACAAAAGGGCTTGAGAATGGCTAATGGTGGGATAATTACAACCTTTAGAAAATGAAAAGGTTAAATTCCAATGGCATTTGAAAGACAATTTTAGAACTTCCTGAAAAACAAAAGAGCTTGAGATTGGCTTTTAGTGGGAAAATTACAATTCTGCAGAATCACGAGACAAAACGCATCTTTTTCAGCGTTTCCGTTTTTAAACATGTTTATTTTTACGACCGGTGAGAAATCGCTTGAACGCAACCGTGTTTTAAAGGTACTATGTCCCTTTTGCAGCCAACCTCAAATTATGTAGAACTTTGCAGGAATTGTTAATATGTCATGTATGTCCTATCTGTGAAATTTAAACGTTAGCAGTGTCCTCATATTCAAATTATCCAAGGAAACCCGTTTACTTGCTAGACTTCACTGTCAGACACTATTGAGTGACTGACTGGCTTTTTTTCTTCTTTGGTAATAACATACATGAAAAGAGTTGTAAAGGGTACATGAGCATTTGTCTACATCAATAACTCACTTCTTGTGATTGCCAAGATTAAACTGATTGAATCTTTGCGCAGCATAAAACGTATGACCATTCGGTACAATTGTCTGAAAATCAAGACTATTACTTTTGGGCTCTATAGCCCTAAAGTCGATATGACAACTAATAGTCATTATTTTCCCACTTGAAGACATTTTCAAGCCCCACCTTTTTTAGGGAAGTTCTAAATACCGGTAAGTATTATCTTTCAAATGCAGTTGGAATTTAACTTTTTCATTTTTTGGGCCTGCAAATGGAACATAGTACCTTTAAACTAAACGTCTTTGAAAAACGTGTTTTAAGGGTGAAAAAGTGTCGATTGAACGCACCCTAAGTTGTCGAATTGACTTTAAGTGAATGCAATCACCTAAGTAATAGTCTGATTTTCAGACCCTTTTACCGAATGATCGTACGTTTTGAAGGAAAATTCACATAGGTTTTTAAACTCCATTAGTGTTCGATTTTCTCGGTTAGTTTGGCTTTAATGATCAGTTTTTATCAATTTGATGTTTAAACCCAGCCTGCATGGATCAAAGTATATCTTTGAATACATATTGATGATAAGAGAAAACTCTGAGACTGAAAGAGGAACTTGACTTGGTGAAATTGAGCGGCTCAATAACATCTCTAGGAATGACTGCAACAGGACATTGGTATGCAAGTAACATCACCAATAAGACATTCCTGTAATACTCTGATGGATATGGTGATACGGCAAGTGGAATTTAATCCTAAAGGGAAACTAAAATAAAGGAGATGTGATATCGATATCTCTACAAAACATAAGATCATTGTCCTCGTTTTAAACTTGGGATGATAGATAACCTATCACGGAAGTATAGGAGGTAAACATACATTTTGTAATCGTATCGACAGTTTTGCAATTATATATAGGTTCCTTTTATCTTTTGTAATAGTTCTTCATGATTTGTTGACCCAGGAAAGCAGACAATCTATTTGGGGTCAAAACTTTCTGTAAAATGACAAGTAAACATCCCCATGGCTCTAATATCAAGAGTTTGGCAATAAAAAGATTATCTTTCACGCAAAAAATAAAGGAAAGAGAAATCGATACTCTGAAAATAAGATATCGTTGCCTGAATTTTGTTTTATTTGGGGAAACAGATAACGGAGCATTATCAGAATCAAAGGTAAACATAATAATGTGATTAAGTATCAGACTGAAAATGAATACCAAATTTTTGTGCACGGGGACTTGTTTTGGAGAGCGTCCGCAAAAATTTGATTTCCTTTCCAATTGCATCATTGGTATGCATTTTTCCTTTCCACTTTAAAAAAAACTTTTTTTACGTTTAAAGATTTTGAACAAACACCTTTAAAAAAAAACATATGGCAGATATTAAATGTGTTTTCATCAGCTCAAGCAATCAGCACTGACAGTCTGCCTCCAAATTCACCCCAAACATGGAAATACACAAGAACATGGGAATATATTAACAATGGAATGCTGCGGATTTTGTTCACAGGTTGAAAGAAACATGTCTTTGCATTTTGAGCCAGACTAGGGTTAACCACAGACTTCTCTGCCTAATTTGGAACATGTTGGTTGCACGCAGGTTGAGGCATAGTAACCGGAACCTGTATGCTTCCAGAAATGAAATGAAATATTTATGACTACAGAAAGCGTACAAGTACAGTTAGTGTAGATTTTATATTACATTGAAAAACCTGTTTGCTTGCTAGCTCACTAGGGCTGATATTTGGCAAGTGAACTACACTTGAAACATTTTTTGGACATTTAAAGGGAAAATTATTGTTGTTTTCATTGTTGAGTCGATTTGTAAGCAAGTTTAATCTTCATTTTAAGTTTTTAAACAATCAATCATGCATTGGGACAAGTTTTTATCGCATCTTTTCACATGAATTTTGTTTTCCTTTTCATTTCAAGGAACTAGCTAATTTCTCTGAAAGAAAAGAGAAGAGAATTTCGAGGATCATTTCATTTTGGCCATGTCACCCTGCGACCCCCGCCCCCCCCCCCCCCACCCCTGAGCCGTAGAAGGTCAGAAATTATTTGACCCAAGCAAATCCATGAAAGCTGGAACCCTGATCCCAAATTCCATAGAATTGGAAGCATCATTGTCCGGGTGAAGGTCTAGTAATATCTATTGAGAAATGGTGACAGAGTGTTTCGCAAGCCTGTTCTTGAAGGAAAAGCACAAGAAAGGTGTAGGTCTGTGACTCTGTATCGCCTCCATTTTTGTTTTAGTGTGTGCATAAAACTTCAAAAGCAGATCACTTATCAAAATATCGCTTGTGAGAAAGTGTATCCATACCAGGTAAATGTCATGTTGCTATATATATACATTGCAATGCAAATTGTTATTTCTTGTAATCAAGTTTTAATCGTTTGCTTCTATTTCTAAGGAAGAGGATGGCTGTCTGTTAAAGGAAGCATGCCTTGAGAAATGTCAAACTAATGAGATAGTGATTAGGGTCTAACCGGTACCTGATGAAGACACTGTTACAAACGAGCGTTGACGAGGCTGCCTTGTTTATACACAATGGGTAATCAGAAGCGCAGTGAGACGTCACGCCCTGCCAACAGAGATAGGGGGCGACTGAGAGACATACTCCGTAGACTGCCGAAGATGACAAACGATCTGTCAACACTCCGTATAGCCTGCCAGCGCTTCTAAACCCTACGACTGATACCACTGCGTGTCTTTTTAAAAATAAACACTCCCGGTGTTGGAGATACGATGCGGTGATAACAGCATCATTAGGTTTACAACCAGGAGAAGAGCTTTAAAGATACTATGTCCCTTTTGCAGTCAACACCAAATTCTGTAGAACTTTGCAGGAATTGTTAATATGTCATGTATGTCCTATCTGTGAAATTTAAACGTTAGCAGTGTCCTAATATTCAAATTATGCAAGGAAACCCGTTTACTTGCTAGACTTCACTGTCAGACACTATTGAGTGACTGACTGGCTTTTTTTCTTCTTTGGAAATAACATACACCTGTACATAAAATGAGCTGGAAAGGGTACATGAGCATTTGTCTACATCAATAACCCACTTCTTGTGATGGCCAAAATTAAAATGATTGAATCTTTGCGCAGCATAAAACATACAACCGTTTGGTACATGTACACTGGTCTGAAAATCAGACCCTTACTTACTGGCTCTATAGCTCCTAAGTCGATTCGAAAACTAATAGTGATTATTTTCCCACTTAAAGACATTTTCAAGCCCCCATTTTTTGGGCAAGTTCTAAATTAGTATTATCTTTCAAATGCCGTTGGAATTTAACCTTTTCATTTTTTTGGCCTGCAAATGGGACATAGTACCTTTAAAGTTTTTTCCAAATATGTCGTAGAGCGACGTGCCAGTGACGAATCTGGGTGGGATCCCAGACATTTGTATGTTCGTGCTCATCTGAGAGTACCACATTTGGGTTAATGGATGACTCCAACATCATTTATCAACAATATAAATTGTGAGATCTTTAAAAGAGATCCAAACACGATATGGCTCATAGTCGTCGTAAATTTGTGTTTATTTGAATTCTTGATGGAGTTTGAAGAAACAGGAGAGGAATGAGGCATCAATAATGATGCTCGATGAATGAACTTTTTAAAATGTTGGCATGTACCTCTCTAGTACTCTTTTCACACTGGTTTTGCTTAACCCCGTACTTTGCTTAGCCCCGTACTATTTTTTTTGGCTTTTCACACACGCTGTTTTTAGTCCTGTACTAGCGCCTATTCCGGAATAAGAAAACTCCCGCTGTTCTCACTGCATTTTGTTAACCCCGGATATCGTGAATGTTATGATTGGACATACTTCGCATCTGGCCAGCTGCGATACGCTTCATTGCGTAGTACCGGACTATTTTTTGTTTCTGTTGTCATTCATTTGCTTAGCACCGCAATTGCGGGGTTAGCAGGAGTTAGCACCACAATTGCGGAGTTAGCCCTGCTATTTTGCAGGGTTAGTTAACCCCGTACTATAGGTGGGGTTAGCCAACTTTAGCCCACTTTGGTAAAAACCAGTCTGAACAGAAAGTGGAATAGGCTTAACCCCGTACTATAGGTGGGGCTAAGACCCCCCTTAACCCCACCTATAGTACGGGGTTAAGCAAAATATTGCCAGTGTGAAAACAGTATAAGGTTACCAATTTGTCAATTATATAAGCAGGGTTTGACAGAATTATGCAGATGGCATAAATCTGTAGGCCTACAATATGATGCCTCCCAATAAATATACAGAGAAGGTGAATGCACGGAAATCAAACTTACCATTTTGCTCCAAAAGTGTTTATACATGCATCTCTCCTTTCAGATCTACAGAGAAAAAGAATAAAGTAAACAGTCTGTAAATATCTTGCACAAATGTAAAGTTTGGTAATGTAATAAGAGCTGAATGTGACTAAATGATTAAAATGTGACTTAATGTGGTCCAATGCCTAGGGTTCAGGCTAGTGTTGGGGTTAGGGTTAGCTATGAAACTTAAGTCTTTAGATTTAGCTTCATTGGTGAAGCATTGGTCAACCTAAAAAAGGTCCAGTCAACTTTTTGTGGTGGGGTATTCTAAAGACAAGGTTGTTCCAAAAGTTGTAATCAAATCTTCTTGGTACACATGCGTAATCAATAATATATATTTGGAATATAGATAGACAACATGTACACCCTTTTCAAAGTTGCACAGGGCTCCGTACATCACGTTAGGCCTGTTTTCATCAGACCAAAGTTGCAAAATAACCAGCTATTTTTATAACTAGCCCAATCTCAAATTAGCTAGCTAATTTACGTCTTCATCAGTTGCAATTAGCGGGCTATTTGGTTGAGAAAATATTCCAAGAAATCTTGGTCTCGTTTCCAAAATAGCCCGCTATTTAGGAAATAGTGGGCTAATTTGCGCCCGTCCGAGCTACTTTGTGATGGTCGAGTGCATCGGTCTGGTAAAGGCTCAATTTTGAACTGCGGGAAAATGTCCGGAGTCTAAAATAGCAGGTTATTATGCAACTTTGGTCTGATGAAGACAGCCCTATGGGTATTATGTTTTTAATGGAATATGTGCACCTCAGTGTTACACAAATATTGAAGGAAGGGGGAAGGGGGAAGGGGGAGGGGGGCGTTGTGGGTGGGGATAGTGCACCAGATCGCTTTTATTTCATGGAGCACTATATACATGTCAGCTTTTATCATGAAATGTATCCCTACACTTCTTTACAAAAAGCACAATCAATTCGTAAAGATATGCAGATCAAAGTTCCAAGGTGAACTTCCGTCCTCCATCTCAAATAACATATATGCCTAACCTTTTGATAAACATGCGTGCCTTCTAATTAACATTTGAATGGTCTGAAGGCACGAGATGGCCTTCGTGCGACCCCTATGCCACTTTCACTTTTCGGTAGTCGGTATAAAACTTGTCTAGAAAAGGAATGAATATGGACCGACAGTCAGAGGCTAGACCACAAAGCACCCAACTACTCAGAAACCCTGCGAGTGTTGTTGGATGAATTCGGTGGAAAGCTGAGTGAATGAACAGGATAACCTTCATCAAAGTCCTAAAACGAAAAGCTTTTCAGGCTTGTTGATTGAAGATGTGATAGATGTCTGCATGAGAGTAACTTGCAATGTACTCTCTAAAAAAAATTGAGTGATCACAGAACGTCACTCCTCTGGAGAGTGAAATGTAGTGAAAATAGAGTGAACATTCACTCTTTTCTTCTTAGAGAGCACTCGAAAATCAATCGATATTCACTCATAAACAAGTGATCCCTGAGGTCACTCCCAAGAAAGTGAAAATAGAAATAAAATTCACTTTTTTTTTTTAGAAAGTACAAACTGGTATAGCTCTTTTACCATCTTCTGTACAAAAGCACCACTTTTTCAAGAGAAAACAAGGATCACAAAGATAGTTCCAGCTCCTTTTTACTACATTGTATTAATATTCTCATAACTTTATGGAGCACTTTTCTAGCTATGACTTTTGAAGAGCCCACTTAAAAATCTTTCTAGGGATTTTGAGTTACTTATAACGGGTTGTCCATAGCTATACGAATATAGGCCTACATGTTTTTCTATATTAGCACCTTCTCTTCCTGGGCCCATGTGTCTTGACTTTTTTCTTGTATTTTTCCTAAAGAATGTCTACATATTGTTGATCATAACGATGTCTCCCCCCCAAACACAGACAGACAAACAATAAATAGACCTTAAAGGTAAAATTGAGTTCTGGTCATGCGATTACATCGTGAAAGAAATCGTCTGGAACCAGAGGCAATACTGAATAGAGAAAGATTTATTATGCACACACACACACACAGTACAAAAGAAGCAAGGAAAGTCACCTGACAAAAAAAAATCGGAGTAATTCACCAATGTTTTGAGAGCAAGCATTTACACTGCAAAAACCGGTGAAGTTTCTGCTGGTGTTTCAACAAACCACACTCCAGGTGGGTTTTATCGTTTTTCAATTGTGATTTTTTGGGTTTTTTTTGTTGTTGTTGTTGTTTTGTTGTGTTTACCGGTAGTTGCCTAGCAAATTCCGACAAAACACCGGAACGTGAGAAAAACCGATGTTTTTTTGCTTGCAGTGTAAATACCTCTTCTTATGACATCACTGGACTGTTCATGTAACACGGGACACCAAGCTAAGGCAGGATACATTTACAAACGCAACTAGGAAGATATTTATGGCTCGCTAATTCTCCTTGTCGTTCAGGTTCCAAACCAATTTAGAAGATTCAATGTCTTTCAAATCCTCCTGCCTTCACAAATCCTTTTTCAATTGCGTGCCCAATATTACTAACACACATGTACTTTTGAAACATTGCGATAGAGGAGTAGTCTGCAGATACAAACCCTTGCCAGTCGCTGTGTGTAGCAGTGTCTGCACCGTGAGACTAGCCTGACACCATACTGCATAGGATCTGTACTTTAGCTGCTCCTTGACACAGCCAGAGACTGACAGAGCTAGGCTCTGCTCAAGGCTTTAGGACTTTATATGGTAAAGAGTCAAATTAGAGCAGAACAATACAGGAGAGCTCTCGGGTCATGAAATGATGAAATTTTTATATTATTGAAGTACATAGTCTTATCATGGATCCTACTCATATCCAGGCCAGCATTTTGAAGGGCCTCAGCTCGGCAGTCTGCAAACATCATGCATACATGTAGTATTTCCAAGATTCTTGAATTTTATAAGAGCATATTGTGAATAGGGTGTTCATGTAGCATAAATCTCGTGAAATTTATTTCTTTAGTTCCTACATACACTTTTCTGGATAAAGGAAAGCTTGAACTAGTCCATATGAAATTGAGGGTTCAGTGACACAAAGACATAACTCCATATTTTGCCAAAATGAGTATTCGATATCAAAATGTTCAGAAAAATGCGGGCTTTTCAGGAAACACAAAGACTTCACCCAACACCCTGTTGAAATCAATGGCTAGTGAAACATAGACTTAACACGTATAAAGGCCCAAGCGCTCAGTGACACATAAACCACTTTTTCTCAAAATGGCCAAAATGGAGCTACGTCTTTGCGTCACTGACCCCTCAAAATGATAAACAGGGCTCCGCACCAACTCTTCTTTTTTTGCACTAGGGGTCTGGAATAGGGGCCCTTGGGTAGTAAAATGCAGGGGCCCATATGCACTGACGGGGGGTCCATATGCACTGACAGGGCACCCATTACTGTCCAACCTTGTGATAGCTACATGTATAATCAAATAGATGAAAATGAATACATGATTTTTCAATATGTTTTTTCTTCAAATTGGATTTCAAAAGAGATCTGCAATTATCAAGACCACATACCATGAGGTGAGTGTGGAAATATTATTATGTGGCAGCATGTGTATGAATCGTATGAATATTTAAAATCTACCATGTGTTCAGGGTAACTGTGGTAAACAAAGATGAGCAATTTCAAGTTTCTTTTATACACAGCGCTGAAATTTATGATTGATCTAATCGTGATTTAGGCTAATACTCTAGCGATTCATCCTTTGTATGTTTTTGTATTATAATCATGAATCAAAGATTTTTTTCCAATGACTTGGAGTAAAAAGATGGAATTGCAGTTTTTATGAGATTGTGTGCTGCTCCAGAGAACACCAACACGTGTCATTCTCTGGCTGGCTTTGTGTATGGCGTTGTTGGAGGATTTGTCAAAACAAGATGGTGAGTTTTATTAAAAGTGACTGACAGAACGGGCAAGTATCAACCACTGTATCTCAGGCCACTTCTATCACAGAGAAAATATTGGTTTTGGAGGCATTGAAGCTCAAGATGTGAAAAATATGAAACCAAATCACAATATAAACAAAGTTATTCATGAAATTTAAAAAACTTTCACATTGGTGACCGACGAGCAGGAGCCAAAATATTCAGCTCATTTGCCTCGTGCAAATTGAATTGAATTGCACATGCTGATTGGCTAACATGCCTAATCAGTAATTTTATCGGTAATGTAACTGAGCAATTTATTCAAAGGGTATATAGAAGATTGGGCATTACTAGAAAAACATTCATCGTCCTATACACGTGTGTACCAACAAATAAAATCAACAGAAAAGAAAATGGCACTAAATTCAACACAATTGCAGCATACATGTGTAGCCTGGTCTTTGAAAAGTCGAAGTGAAGGGTGTCACCCCCTCCCCCTAACCACACCTCCCCTAACCTCCATTCCCCTCCTCTTTTCCACCCTAGACATTGGGAGTATTTCATCATGATCCAGCAGGAGCTTGTTCCAGAAATTCCATGTTCCCCAGAGATACAGTACCTTGCAAGATGCAGGTTGCAGACACCTGTATCACAGTGGAGTATTATAACAGAGTCTGGCCAATTTACAAGGGGTCATTAGAGGTCAAACTCGTCTGGCAATCTGTGGTGACTCATTCATGACAATATCATAAATCATATCGCGACAGCCAAGCTATCAGAGAGAAAATCCTCCATTTGACGCCCCATTATAGGATTCCTCAGACTGGTTATTTGTTTGGTGGTTTTTGGCAAGTCTTTTGGGGTTCAGGAGTCCAGAGCGAGCCTCCAGAATGTTTACGGGTTTCCGACTGATTTATGGTCTTGCCAAACGGATTGGTACAGAATTCATGTTGTATGACTTCATGGTCAACTGAGTAGATTTTGGGTTGCTTCAAGAGCACCGTTTATCATTGTTTGACATATGGGGCAGACTCTTCCAGAAAAATAATACAGAAGTTTTAGAATTATAAAAATGTTTATATCATGTCTACATTTATGTATCTTGTTATCATGTCTTACCGGTACTATGTTTTACATATCTTTCTGTATTATATTATAAATA